CCTCCTCTCACAGTTTCCCCACTAAATTTAGGTGGAAAATTGACGCCACGTGACCGCGACACCAATTCACTTTCCCCGCTAAATTTAGCGGGTTAAACGACGTAACGTGACTTTGTGTCACGTCACCCATGAACAAATTCAGTTTCACCAATAGTTTTAGCTGGAAAATTGACGTCACTTGACCCCAAAACCAATTCAATTTCCCGCTAAATTTAGGGGGGCGGTTGCGGCGACACCGACGGCGACGCCGCTATACACGGAAACAGACGCCTAAGAGCTGCGCTCTGAAAACTACTAAGACACTTAAGACTGCTAACATGTAGGAATGCGAAGGCATTCGTATGCGTAGCGTATTCCTACAAGCTGCGCGCCGCGCTGATCCCGGCCGGGGGACCCCTACGGAGAATGCACGGGCAGGCCGGGTGTTTTGCAGAGCCAAGCCACCCTTTCCCTCTAACCGGCAGCCGTGCCGCTGCGCCATGGAGAGGGCTTCTTTGGGGGGTGGCGTTCCTTAAAAGTATGCCGCGCGTCAGCCAATGGAGGGGTTATTTACAAATTCAATGCTACAGACTACAGACCTCTTTTTATGGGCCAGGGGAATTTAGGTGCCGTTTGGCGCAGCTTCAAAGGCTGACAACGCCGGTTCGCCTCATGGGACAATTATTGCTTTCACATTAATAATCTCTGGTGAAAGGATGTTTACGAAATAGGATCTTTATCTATTTGAGAGGCGTTGGAAGTGCCTGTTAAACCACATGAATCGTGAACTTTGAGGAGCCCTTTTTATGGCAATGTGTTTGTTGGTTATCAAGCATATTATTTTTAGAAATATTGCAGTTTGTTTTACTCGACGATTTAAGAAGTATATTAAAAATGTTTAAATAAAAGAAGTGGAAGGGCATGGTTAGTTTTCACATTGTCAGCATTGGCATCATCCTGTATTTTCTTTGAGCGTGTTCATCGAAAAATACAATATTGGTGCTGCAATCTCTGGGTTGGTTGAGAACAAATACAACACGTTTACTGTTAAAGATGTAACATTGTGTTTAGTATCTAGTTAATTAAGATTAAGATATATACAAAGGCTAACAAAGTAACTGATCTATGATGAAGAATAAATCGCACCTGGAATATCGTCTGTGTAAATATTAGAAGCATAATTGTTCTCCAAAGGTAAAATTGGCGAACTCGGAAAGCCCATTACAACGATACTTCAGGAGAGGCGTAGAGCTCAAACAAAGATGACGAGGATAAGGATATCCTACAACAAGCGCTCATAATCCTCCGTTTATTGTTACTGCCTATAAACACTCAAACAATTTCGAAATCACTGATTGTGCTCAAGCAAAATCGCTCAGTGTCACCTTCTACGGCAATTGAAACACAACCACCGCACCAGTCCTGTTTGTCGTTTCTGTAAATCTTGTATTTGCTGGGTCCTTCAAACACTTCATAGCGACACACTTCCCCAGAAAGCCAAGTGTTCGTTATAACAATGACGTAATTAATTATACATAGGAAACACAAATGAGCACAATTTGTTTCATTTTTTAATTACACTTTTATTATTTGAAAAACGCACTCAAACATCTGTCGCATGTGAAAGAAAGACACTTTCCCTCTCGGCGTGTAATTCTACGTTTGGTGGCCGAGATGGCCCACTTGCAAAAGGTGAATTAAAATATTATAACAAACAAAAAGTCGCGTCCACTACTGGTAATGCGACGGGACCAATTCCGTACGCACTGTTATTATCCGAATCAAAAGCATAGCGTCTATTGTAAATATGGATTCATTGTGGCTAAATTTGAAAGTCGTGTTTCTTTTTTCGCCAATTCTGATCCCTTTTTTTATGCATGACGTGTTGCTACCGAGTAATCCTCTTTCACTGTAACGTGATTTGTATTTAAAGATAGTCTGGAAGGCATAATATGGTATATTACTTTGTAGGAAGCGAATTTTAAGATTATTAGGCGATACTTTAGCTGACACAGTTTGCCGATTCTTTGGGCCTTACTAATGTCTTTATCCACTACCTGAAAACGCAGCGACCGCCTAATCATGTTTAAAATTATTTCCTGTGTTCGTGCCCCACTTTGAAATACAGTCAGAAATTCATAAGATTAGATATCCCACCTTGAGTGATTCTTTGCATCATATAGACGGAACCTCAGAACCCAGTTGTCTTTCTGCCCATCTTCAGTCAAGCTTAGTGTCACGACAGTTTCTTGCTGAAGTTGAGTCATGGTAGTAATTGAAGGTTTAACCTCGAACAGTCGCGGGTTTTATATCAGTTATAGAAACGTTGATAGATTCCTGGTTGTGCGTAGCTTCATTTAGTGACGTGTATATTCATGCCTGCGCTCGTTTCATTCTAAGCAGGAGTTCACTAACGTATTTCAGCATTGCATGCATTTCGTTAAATTGCTCGAGTTTTTCTACACTTGTTAACCCCTTGATTATACTCGACGTACCCATAAGTCTCGAGGAGAAGGCCTTCGGCATCAGCACAGTACAATACAAAATGGTGTCAGGGAAGGGTATGAACTTGGGCTAGTTGATCATCCCCATTTCCGAGGGTAAAAGTGTTAAACCCAAAGGACAACTAAGAGAAACCAAGAACACAAAGCGCTTGTTGTTCGTTTGCTTTTACTTGACTGTTGTTTTTAACGCCTTTACCCTAGAAAATACTGGTGTCAGAGAGCACTTGTGAGTACGCAAAGAGCGGTAAACAGTCATCGCCCCTCTGTTTAGAGTTTTTAGAGGGTATCGAGAAAGTTTAACGTGAAACGAGGTGAATGCAAGAGGTCTGGCCTGTCTACGTACTAGAGTACTTGAGGATACTTTTACTCACTAGGAGATTTACTATCTACGTAATTTATAAATATTGAATGGTGAATACCTTGTGTCCTTCTTCCTAATAAAAGAAGAATTTACATAGAGAAACCAATCGTCAGGTCAAATATCTACAGGTGCGCTCAGGCAAGGATATATTCCGCTGTTATGATAGCGATATTCTAAAATAATAACACTCTAGCAAATACAAAAAATTACTATACCCAAATAAGAACATGTTTATTCGAAGTAAATAAAAAAATGTTTTGTATACTATAGTAACCGACAGTTTAGCAAACGCAGTGCGATGGTTAATATGTTCGCGTCTTTTGCTGTGTGATTTTTTATTCCCTGTTCTTATGAGCTAAAGCCGCAATCACAGAGGTGGCTCAACAATATTAACATGCCCCGGATCCAGCAGGCCCTGCTTTTCCTAGAGGGAAGCTGAAGAGGTGCTTGAAAAGATTGGCAACGACCTTTCCCTTCAAAGTCCTAGTGCATCAAATGCATTATAGGGAATTGGCGGGGGAATCGGTGTTTTACGTGACGTATATTTCTCCGCTAAATTTAACATAGAAAGTGAATGGGACTTTGGGTCGTGTGACATCAGGTCACGTGAGGTTTATTTTTTCCTCTAAATTTCGCAGGAAAACTGCATTTGTTTCTAGGTCGCAAAGCGTGGAAGTTCCCGCTAAATTTAACGCGGAAACTGAATTGATGTTTTGGAAACAAGGCGTGAATTGTCCCGCTGAATTTAGCGGGGAAACTGAGTTGATCTATAGGTTCCGTGCCGTTGATTTTCTAAAGGTCTGTAGGTCAAGTGACGTCACGTAACGTCATGTGAAGCCACTTCCCCTCACTAAATTTAGCGGAAAATGCGCGGACGGAAGGGCGGATAGACGAACGCACGGAAGGAGGGAAGGACGGACAAACTTTTAGGATTAGGAAGTGGCGTTAAAAAGCACTTCTTGTATTAAAATCGAGTTAGAGGTGAATTTTAGCATATTTGGTTTTGTGAATTGGAATATCACGAGCATTTCAACCAAATGCATATATAAGACTCAACAAGAAAACGAAAAACAAATTGCTGGGTTCGATGTCACAACGAGGGGTCTCAACTGCCTTGCGCGTGCCCCTTGTGAGGGAGAGTGCGCAGCGCTTTTTGAGTGCACGGGTAAGGTTTTCTGAAGGCGCGGAAACGTTGAGGTATCTGTATACTACGTCATGATTCCCTCCTCACACCAAGCGCGTCTGGAAGGACGGGCTTCAGCGCTATCCTGAATGCCCCGCTTTGGCTACTTGGCGCGTCAGTTTGAGATATGACTGGTATTCCAAAGAGCCCGTGACAAATGTGTCCCGAGCGAGTATACACGACTGACTAACCTCCACTTTATTACCTTCTCTTATAGCCAACATTGACTCGTATTCGTACTCGTGAATGCCATATGAATATGATTTAAGCGTTTTTTTTTTTCTTAAATGCGGAGGTGTTTTAATTTCCCTCTCAGCTGTCCGTGACTCTAACCACACTATGCGGCCAACAAGGGTTAAAATTTGTGTCTTTGGCGTATCGGCACGCCAGTAAGAGCCTGCCAATCAAAAGGCAACATGGATAATGCCCAAGCAACGCAAGATGACGAGATGGCCAAGCGCGCGTTTTCATTTGTTGAGTTCGGGGCAAGCAAGAGCACGTGGTAGCCTTTAGGGGGTGAACAAACGCACTAGGTGCTCGATCAAATTAAACTTTTCAAATAGTGACCCATCACCCATTGAATTCATGTGCTTGCTATAGCGGACCAAATTCATCGGAAACAGTAAATGATCCGTGATACTACGCTTTTTCTTTGGGTGATGATAAGCTTAGCCGGGGATAGGGAACGCGCCAAAACAATAGCGCCGTGACAATGAACTTTTGGCGTTGCATGTAGGGCTGCGTTGAATTGTAGCGTCGGGTGCGGATACATTTAAAATGAAATAGAGCAGAGTATTGCATTTCGCCTGATTGCTAAAACCACTTTCCTGGTCATTCAGACACATATGCCACACGGTGTTCGTGTCTGCAAATGTTAATTAGCTTTTCTCTGCGAAATGCTCACTTTATAGTAAAAAGCGTGTCGTGAAAAAAAAAAAAAAACTGACATATCGCTTTTCTTTCTGCCTTTCAGAACGCGGACTGCAAGGTGTTCACGAGTTTCTGGCACTACGTGCTGATGGCCAACTACTGCTGGATCCTCATGGAGGGACTGTACCTGCACAACCTCGTCTTCCTCGCCTTCTTCACGGACAGTTCGGGGATTATAAGATACGTCGCTCTTGGTTGGGGTAAGTTATATTTTTCTTATGCTTACTACTCCAGTGAATGTATCTCTCACTTATTGTCGTTGACAGATTAGCCGGTGCTTCTCGTATCTCTGAATCCTCGGAAGGATTCAGAGTATTGCACTTCGTTTTCAATGGCCTGTCGAGCGGATTTGCTTTAAAATAGTAGTATTCAGATACGCCAACTTTTAAGATATCTCTAATCAAGCGTCATCAAAAGTTGAACACCTCTATTGAGAAAGGTTTTTGAGTACATTGCGCTTCGAATTTATTCAAAGATCAGTGTAAAATATAGAAGGTCAAGTGTGGCGGTTACTCTTATCGTAGTAAGTATTTATTAAATTTTCTTTAGACGCCATTCGCCAATTTGTTGTCGTAATCACCACATCGCAACTCTGAAAAGTTTTGTATAAAACTTGCAGGGCTTCCGATACTGTTCCTTGTTCCTTGGGTAGCGGTAAGAGCAACGCTTGAAGACACGTAGTAAGTATATGACACCCAAACTGTTTTTGTCCAGTCGCTGTTTTCGGAAAATAATGCTGGTTCTTGTTCCCGTCTGCCACTTCAGTTGCTGGACAACAAACGACACGAAATCTTACTTCTGGATTATCCGAGGACCTATCACGGCGTCGATAGTGGTAAGACTGCTTTCGACCTTAGAAATAATTGGAGAAATTTGCTTGATCGCGTTGTGGACTCGTTTGCGCTCTCTTCCAAAATGAAGCACTCTTTTCTTAAAGTCTACCACTCTCCTGCGCAATGATGCGGAGAATGGAACATATTTGAATCGTAATTAAGGCAAATATTTAGGCAGGGAATGGGTGGCCGAGTCTGTTTGCACACCACAACTCGAAGCACTAGGAACAAAACTCTTACCGTTGCGGATCTATACCATTACACTGCCCGTTTATATCGGAATAAGTTTCGCACCTCCGCAAGGTCACGTAATTACTATTGCATGATGCTTGTTAAAAACGTTATTTTTCACGTCCGCCGAAGTCACCGTACTCTCGCAGGTCAACCTCGGATTGCCTTGGCATCTAACAGAAAATGGGATCTAGCTTTGCAAAAAAAAAATTTAAATAAATATGTCTGATAGCTGTTGACAATTTGGAACGCACATGAAAAGAAAAACGCGAGAAGCTTCATAGCGCAGCGGACGTTTTGCTAAGAAGTTTAGTTTTTTCAGAGTCAATCAGAAAGGACATGCGAGGAACTATTATGAACATGTAACGACAAATAAAAAACTTAACGCCGGAGCAATGTTTGTAGCTCATGCATTTTACTCCGTATATTATATGTGTCGCCACACATAATTTATGCATCTTCCAATATAGGGATAACTTTAAAAAAACGTGTATCCCTACACTATTTGTTTTTTAATTATTTTAGTTTCGTTTCACAAACGTGGCTTTTTATAAGGTTTCGTTATTCTAAACATTTATTTTCTAGTTCCGTCTATGCTTTTAATTAAAGAAATAATAAGATTACACTCTTTCATACGCCTCGGTAAGATAGGTGATCGGAAAGGTGCACTGGTGCAATTCTTCATCTTTACGCAGTTGGGTGGTGTTCACTAAAAAGAAAGACACATATATTTTGACTTATTCATAACACACATTCTAAAATTAAGCAGGCGACCCTCACACGGATTTGTGTAGCCCTCGAACTTGAAATATTCATTGCACAGCATGATGGGTGGCATTTAATAGAGTGACATTCAGGTGAAGCCGGACTATCATTTTTGAACTGAGTGAGTATCTTGTATGGACATGTGTTTGCTGTCTTTAGGTTTTCCTTTTTCAGATAAAAAAAAGGATGTGTCCCAAATCGTCGACCTTTTTATATATTGACTGTCCAAACACTATTTCTTAAATAAGACTATATAAACAATGAACCACCATAAAAAGCATTGCATATAAGAAATAAAGAGTCAAATTGAAAGTTTGGCTATTATTTACATGAAGGTGTAATATGAACTAAAAAACAAGCGTTCATTTGGTCCATTTATAAAAGTAGGTAATGCCACCTCCCGAGTATTTCACCCAGTGGGAAAAAAAATTGGTTTCCATAAACAAAGTGAGGCAACAACTGGGCAGGAAAATTGTGTCACATTAAAGGCTACCAAGAAACTTGAAATATATATTTCAGTTTTTTTGCAATCAGGTATTATTCTCGTCTCCGCGCAGTGCGTAATTTTTCAATGATCTGAAGGTAAGTGCGCAAAAACGATGGTGTAAATTAAATATAATTACACATTTAACAATCTCGAGCGAATGCTCTCGAGCATTGCACTTGGCAGAGCCAATTGCTGCAATCTAAGGCATGTACTCAGCGAAAAATGAGGCTGATAATGTGTCTGATCCTCGACAAACGACCTGCGATGTGACACTTAGCACGGTGAACCTCCATGCTAAGTGCTATTATTATAGAAGGTTTTCTAGTTTTGCTGAAGGAGGTCGTGAACCGTTTTTTTTTTCAACATGCTCTGCTAAGTGCTAATTTGGATTACCGGTCATCTATTACGTAGCCCACGCGCATTCGTTTTTATGCGAAAGCATTAACTGTCCCATGGAGCGAGCCGACGTCATCACCTTTGAAACCGCGCCAAACTGCACCACCTTCAACTCTTTCTCCAAGTGAAGTCAGCTCCTAGCGATGAACCACACGAAAAGCCTAGACAAGGGTACCTAGTTTCCCCGATCCCAAAAGAGCGGAGTTAAGCTGATGAATTTCGGCTTCGGACCCATTGGCTGGCGCGCGTCGACGGGGCTCCCATCGACCGCTCCGCGTAAGGTTCAACGACGGCCGCCCCATGGCGCTGCGTGTCCGCGAGGCAGCGGCTCCACCGCTCCACGCCCAAGGTCAGCGCGCTTGCTCGACCGTCGACGAAAGAAGGGAGCGGAAGGGCGTCGTACAAGCTTTCGCATTCACGCCATATAAGAAGTGCTTAGGTGTACCTAGAGCCTTTTATTGCCTGGATTCCTTTATTAGTGTAAAACGACAATTTCAATTTTCCGGAGAGCTTGCACCTCGATTCTACGACTACGTCGCAACAAGACAGCCAATCGGAAAGTTTTGATTTCTGACTTCACGCGTAAAAGTCAAAGGCGACCAGATACTTTCCTCAGATGCAAGGTATGCGATCGGCTGGGCCTCCCCGAGCTTCAGCGTCGTTTAATCGAGGGCAGCCGACTTTTCGGCTTTGTGCATTATGCGGACACTCCCTCTGTCGACTACGAGACCGGCCATCAGCCGACGGCGGCACCAACAGTGAACGCGTCGCGAGCTCTCTGCAGCGAGGTGCTTGCGGTTCGACGGGACGTGTCCGTTCTTTCTCCGGGTCAAGCCCTCGCCGTCCTTCGATGTTCAAGTCAATGTCCCGGTTTGAAAAAGATCGAAACAGACGTAACCCTGGCTCCTGCCAATGTCGTTTGGGCCATCGGAGCCAAAAGCTGGAAACCAGGCTGCTCTTTACTGTGGGTCGTCTGGCAACTTACGAAACCGAATGTCGTTCACTCTATCGTACCTTGTGCCTACTGTCTCACAACGCACGCGGTCTGCATGGCGAGTGCTAGGGCGCGCACTCAACACACGCCAACGACGCAGAGCACACACCATCACCTAAGCCTTTCACACACAGAAAAGGCGCAGCGATCTTCAAACGACAAGAGCCGACGTAGCGATATGTTGCTGGACAAAATAAATCTCGGATGTGTTTCAAAACAAAACTTAGTTTTAGAACGCCAGTAAATGCGTTCCTATTTCTATAACTTCCTTTGTTATTATTAAAGCACAAAATGAAGTACACTAGATCCACAACCTTACACACGTATTATTGTGACGTTTGTTCCTCAAGCTGGCCAACCATGTCGTATGGTCGTTCCAGGCAACCGATGAAAAACGATTTTCAAACATGTTCTATAATATCTGAACGCAATACTTCGCCGCGATATTTGGAATTTAGGATGTCTGAGGTCTCAATTTTACAAAATTAGGCCTGTGAATATCTATTTTATTGCACGACCCCTTTAGAAATATTATTTGCCCCGTAATTCGCCGAGCGATCCCTCCGTAGGTTTCTGCGATTGGCTCTCTAAGTGCTATGCGAGAGAACAGAAGTTCCATATGTCTTAGAGTGTCCGAGACACTCCGAGTGTAGGGTTAAAACTTTGTGGTGTCCTGCTTTTTTTTTTTTAGCCTTTACTTTTTCGCAGTTTTAAAAAAGCGGGGACAAGTTCCTCCCGCATTGTGCTCCACCTTTTCCACTTCAGTGAGCGAACGTTGGATTGACGGTGGGAGAGGAGGAGACTACACTCGCTCATCTCCAGCGTCCCCTTGCTTTGCGGGAGGAACATGTCGCGCTATTTTTTAAAGTGCCACTGAGTATGACCTCGGGGCATTTCGTAATTACGTAGTTTTGCACGCTTTTTTATGTATTTAGCAAAGCGAAAGTGTGTGCTCCGGCTATCGGAAGAGGCAAGAGCACATTGCAAAGAGCGACTGCAAATGTTGGTATCCGAGTTTTATTATAAGTCAATTAAAACAAAGTTTGCTCTATATAAAGTAACAATATATAAATATTTTATGAACGTAATCATTTATTTGGTCAATTCATCGAAGTGCAATCAAAAACAATAGTCGGTTTTACGAGAAGTAGGTGGCATGGTAATTCGGATGTTCATCACCTTACAGTGCACATATAATACAATTTGCTTACCCAGCTTGTTATAGCATAAAAAAACATAACGTAAAAATAAACAAAATCTTAAAACCAATGCTCTTACAAACTCTTTCCGAGATGTATGAACAGCATCAGCCACAGGCAATCATTTTGTTTTGGTATAGTACTGTTGCCCGTATTTCTGATTTATCGCAGGTGAACTTCTTCCTATTTATCAACATCACAAGGGTACTCTTTGTAAAGCTGTTCACCACCCAAACCCACCAAGCGAGGAAGTACAGATACAGGTGAGACAAAGTGCTCCTTCTAGAAAATATTATGGACAACCTCAACATACTTCCATTATTCAGGAACTCCCTGCTTTGCCAACTGAATTTAAAGAATGGAATACAGCACAACAAAAGCGGTACTAACAGTATTGTATCTTAACCTGTTGAAAAAAGTGGTAATTTAGATGGGATACTGACCGGTCTTGACTGAATGATGTTTCAAACTCTCCCACTCATGTAAACAAAATTCCGACAGGCGTTTCTAGTTCATTTATCTGTCCCCACGTGGCGTATTCATCTTTAACTTTTATGCTCAGTGCAAAATTTCGCCACACCGGAGTGTGAGCCGAGTAAAAAATAAGTAATTTTAAATATATAAAAAAAGAATGAAATAAGCTACGTCTTGCGGTTACCGCATACTGATAACTTTATCGTTATCCCTTGCCATTCCATGGCGATACGGCGTTCAAAAGAAGAACATCGGAACTTCTAAACTGTTTCGCAGAAGTCATCGGACCAGGGAATAATACACAGGGTATAATTAGTGGTTGATTTCGAACAGGACGTATTTAAGGAGGAATTGTCAACTTACCTATTTCAGGGCCTAAGTATTACACCTTGATATATAGGGTGTCCCAAGTCACCAGGCTCGATCTAAAATGAACCGTAAAACTCGACGCTTGCACGTAGCAATCTGAACCTTTTGTTAAAAGTGCATTTCACACGTCGTTTTCTCTTTTTTTTTTCTTGTAAGATTGCAAAGCGTAGCTTCCTTTTTGTAAAAATAGTGCCAAAACGCTTCCCAGGTTAAACGGCGGACGGCAACGCAAACGACCGAGTCGAGTTGCGGGGTGCGTTTCACGCGCGTATTCATAGATGGCGTCGGACGCAGCATCCGAAGGTGCAGCTGACCAGCAAAAGAAAGCAGACGGCACACAGGCGAAATTCGTTGGCAGCAAAAGCGCCATCGTTATGCAGACGCGTTTTTTTTTTTACTTGAAGTTTTGTTTTTATTGTCCGCAATAATGTTTTAACTAAAGGTACATTACAAAAAGATTATGTTGATTAAAAAAAAACAGGTTGGTTGTAAGCGCTTTCGATAACGAGGTAGCGTCATCTATCAGTACGAGCTCCAAAAGGCTCCCCGCCGCTCGACTTGGTTGCCTGTGTCGCCGCCCACCGTTGACCCTGGCCAGTTCCTTGGCCATATGTTCTACAGAAAGGGAGCTACGCTTTCTAATTTTACAAGAGAAAACGACCGGTGAAATACACATTTGACGAAAAGATTAGATTTCTACGTGCAGGCGTCCATTTTTACTCCCCATTTTAGATCGAGCTTGGTGAGTTGGGATGGCACAAAGTCTTAGGGATGAAACGCGGTAGTGCGCTAAAGTTAGCACTCGTGCAATAGCTGCGCAAGGCTGCCGGAGCACAAACGCGGATGATAATTTTAACAACCCCGTCCATCATGCCAAATTATAAAAAAAAATATAATAATAACGCATACAGAGTAAATTAGAGGTGGTTGGGCCATTTTGGCGTATTTCTTTTCATTTTCTCATTTTGGTACCCGCGCTACGCAAGAGAGCGTTTTGAACCTGCTGCGATGAAAAATCCTATAAAATGAACCATTTTTGTGAAAGCTTGTCTCGAGGTGGAGGCTATTCGACTGTTCTCGGGCATTTCTCTTATCATTCCAAATTCGGGCTCGCGTTCGTCATTCAGGAACCTTTTGAGATCGGGCGAATTCTTGACTATTGACCTATCACAAACTTTATGGCCCTCAACTACATGCTCCTGCTATGGCAAATTCTTTAAGATGAGTCTTCTTTGAGAAAACGCGTCTTGATTTGGACATGGTTTGACTGTTTTTAGGCATTTGTCTATCAATTCAAATTCGGGCACCCGCGCCTTGTCCGGGGGAGTTTTGAGATTTACCGAATTCATATCTGGCGAAGAAATATCAAACTAAATTCCTCCGACTACAAGCCGGTGCTATTCTTAAATCTTGGGCTTCAGCCCTCTTCGAGGAATGTTATATTGGAATGTCATGTCGGATATTCCAATACGCTCGTCTCTTGACTTTCTTCTCTGTTTGTGTGCAAAACGAAAGGGATAATTAATGTAATAAAAACATTTTGATCGTGCCTCAATATTTTTTTTTTTAACTTCGGAATATTAAGTTTAAAAGAACAATCATACTCTCATAGATCGATTGTTCACGGCAGTTCTCCCAATCCTTAGAATAAAATGCACTTTGTTGTAATCAAATTACATTATAACTCGGGAAAATGGTTTTTAATGCGTTTATAATTTTGTAGGTCGTAATATAAAACAGCTGGGTTTGTTCGCTACTTTAGTGATGTCAGTAGTAGAATGCTGGAAATGATCTTAAAAGTCTAAACGAAAGCAGATAAGTCTTATTTTGCGAATTGGTCTCAAGATCCCAAGAAAACAAATTTTTACAAAAAAAGTAAATTGTACACATTATTTTATAGATTCTTCTGGTTTATTGCAGTTAAATGAGAAATATTATATTTTGTAGTATTTTTAAATTGTGCTGGTTCAAACTTTGCTGTTTCTCTAAAATTTGTGTGAGGTGCCTCGGAAATGCATTTTTCTAGACACGCAAAACACGTCTTAGACACTAAACCAAATTCCATATTATTGCGGAGGTATGCTTTATAATTTATGCAATCATAATGAGCTCTTCTCGGACAAAGAACGAACTGTACACTTTAATTAACTTCGACACTATCCGTAGTGGCAATATGTCAAAACGTTCATTCGATGGAGGAACGTGCACTTTATACGTCCTCATCTTGAAATGTTGGCACAAGTATAGTGGTATACGATAGAATGGAGTAGTATCACGGCAAATTGTTCAAAGTGTAGCGTTTTGATGTCATGGCCATATTTTTATCTTAAGTGAATAATCTCCCATGAGAGCGGTGCCGAAACCAGCTAGCACAGTATCGCACATGTTTTTGGGGATGTAAGTTCTACAGAAGAAAGGAATGTTGCACAATGTCACCCTAATAACTATATTTAAGATCTTTTTCCACTTGATAAATAAACTCAAAATAAAAAAAATGGTTTCCATGTATTGAATACAAGGACGCAAACAGGCGGGTGAATACTTAGCATGACAAAGAAAACCTGAGACCGCAGGAGACCCCGAAACTATCCAGTGAATGAACCATTTTTAGCCGAAGTCCCGTTTTTTTTTAGGCTTAATAATCACCAGTTTGCTTGCGCCCTTACATTAAGTTTATTAATCCTACAAAATGTAAACCTCGCCCTCCTTCCCCATACGTTATTCACCTATTTTAGTGTGTGCACGTCGTTCGTACCCACAGACTTGCGATTTCGTCAGTGTCTTAATGTCGATTTTTCTGCGCCATCATTTATGTAATAAATATTGAAAAAAATCAAGTTGAAAGATTTTTGATAAAATCGAATCAGTGTTGCTATTTCACTAAATGTTTGCACTCCTTTATTTTTGACTACCAATCTTTGGTGACCAAGCAAACAACAGTCAAACATCGAACGCTTTGGGCGTCCCGACGAAAAATGCAACCTGCAGGTTCGAGGTAACACAAGTTTTTTTTCAAAAAGAATACAAACATAAATGGAAAACGTTTTTTTAGGCATGTGTGGCGCAAATCCTAAAATTACCACTCAAAGACACATCTTCGTGCGAATTTAGAACAATTGACATCATCGCAGGCTACAGGACCTTTTATTGAGGCAAAAGGCCCCCAAAATATTGGAAGGATTTGACTCCGTTTCTAAGATTGATCGAATCAGTGAGAACCTGTAAAAAAGTACTATCTAGCCTAGCTACAAAAAGGAATGACATACTAAAACATGTTTTTTTTTTATTTTCAGAGTTTCTAGATTCGATATGCTTTAAACAGAAAACGCTCAAACACAGATCTTGCAAACATGAGAATTGGCAGAAAACGAGGAGAACGTGTGAACTGAGAAAACAAACTCCAAATTTTGTTTAATTTCTTTCCGTGTACACTGCCCCTGTCTTTTTAGAATGTGGTACACCTGGAAGCAGTACGGGCTGACTCTAGGTATTGGGTGAAGTGATGAGAATTCGCATGCACGCATTTTAGGTGCGTAGCAACCGGGTTTTACAAAATTCAAGCTCACACGTCTAAGTTGGACATCTTCCAAATTTGTCTTGTGATTTCATTCATCTAATCAATCTTGTATCTACCCCATCTCGGTAATCTAACCTACATCACTTCAACGTTTTACCTCTGAGAAAACATCAATATTTTACTCCGCTGATACACCAGGGGTCTAACCTGAACGTAGCGCATTGATTAGCCTCTTTCTCGGCATAGGCCTTTAATCGGAGACTGCTAATCACACAGTGCATCAAAAATTTAAAAAAAAAATAAAGAAAAATGGATGAGTGAAGGCATTGGGAATACGCAAGCGAGCTGGGGATTCCGAGACATAAATAAAACTTGTGTCTAAAGAAGGAGATAGAAGGCACATAGAAATAAGAGGACAGGCAAATACCCTCGATGTTTGTGTGCGCACCTATTTCTTTCTTTTATGTGTCTTCTTTCTCCATTATGTAGAGTGTCAGGTCTTAATTTCTATTTAGAGTGAAATAGTTCGTTCATGAGTTTGGTGGGTGAAATGATGTGCACTCTACGTGTTACCTAGATAATGTTGGTGGTTGTTCAGACCATACTACTGTGCACATTCCATAATTGATGCGCCCGAAGAAAAACAAATAGCATTCCTTAAGGAAGTGATGACGTGAACAGCTCAAAGTAACTTTATGTTTTTCCTTAAGTATACATAGGACACTTCATACACACCAGAAGCTAAACAAAAACTAGTGTAATTATTTAGTGAAGGAATGTTTTTACAACTTCCTGTGGGACACTAGTGAGAGAACATTGTCCCATTAATAAAAATGTTCCATTAACAATTTTCTTTTGTGTTTCTACCTAAAGCCGCTTACTTGTCTACATCCAATGCACGTGTTGGTGCTGCGATGGTTTGTAAAAAAAAAAAAAAGAAGAATATAAATCTGTGTTTACGTCTCACACGTCCTCGAATCGGGTGGCTATGCTGAGGCGAGATTGAATGCGTTTTTTTTTTGTATATATAAATGCCTGTAACTAGCGCATTGTTAACAATAAATATATAGGAGATGCATGTTCAACATAGCACGTTAGAGGTTCCTAACCTGGCACAAGCTTGGCAATGAGACCTACCTTGGCCCTAATACGGTTTTTCTTTAATGCGTTATTTTGTGCCACAAAACTTTTCCTTGGCATTTCTATAAATTCTCTGTAGCTCACCCCTGGATTGCCAGTCACACCCAAGCCAAACATACCATGCATGAACAGAAGAGGTAACAGTGAATCCTAAACCTGACACATATCCTGCAATTTCGACCGAAAGTTACCACACAAAAAGAAAACCGCCAAAAGTGAAGCCGATTTCTGGCACTTGTTCGGCGATTTAGGCGCAAAGATGCCGGATAACAGCCGATCTAGCGTCAGTGAAACCTAACTTCGTTACTTATTTCATGAATTAGGGTCAAAAACCCAGACTCTAGTAAAAAAATGACAAGTTTTTTTTTTACTTCCTTTAGGATTTTTTACGCTCTAGATGCCCAGACAAAACGAAATTTTGCATAAACAACTATGCTGCCTGGGTAGTAACATATACCGCTTTCTATCGCCATTGTGATGTTGGATTAAGCACTCTGGATGGCCATGACAACATTGATCTGCCATCCACTAATTCTTCTCTAACTAATCTGATTTTGGCGCCACTACAGGAAGTGGTTCAAGTCGACGCTTGTGCTGGTCCCTTTGTTCGGCGCCCACTACGCCTTTCTCCTTGGAATGTCCTTGGCGGCAGCGGGCGACCTGCTTGAGCTGGTGTGGCTCTACATCGATCAGCTGTTCTCTTCATTCCAGGTGACCTGTTTCTAACAGTGCAGTAGTTTTCCTAACGCATGCAAAATGTCGCCGCCGAATAAATGAAATGAAATGAAATGAAATGATACGTTTAAAAATAGCGAAGACGAAATTGCGCGCCTATTTTTTAAAGAACTCGTGGCGGCGTTTTCTAGTCTCTTGAGCCAATGGCCCAGGCGTTCCATGTTTGTGTTTCACTTCCGTCCACGTTATTATTTCCTCTTCGCTGTTTTCTAAAGTGGCTGACAGCTTAGGGAGGTCAACTGCGGTCAAAAATCGAACCAAAATAAATGACAGATAGTGCTTTAGTGGCACGAAATATAATCCCAGCCGCAATATTACGTTAAGTGGAAACCATGTTCTTCAGTAAAATCAGTATTAAGACGCGACCAGTTGCGTTTTTGCTGGAGGTGAGCGGTTTAGCTGTTAGTTTATCAACACTGGAATATGACATGCAGATGGTGCTTTGACCCTTTTTCACGTGTTTTTACCTCGTTTTGTAAAGTAGTGAATAAAGCTGTTTCCCGCGTTTTCCTTTTTTTTTTTTTGTAAGCCACGCCCAGTGTTTAAGACAACACAGGGCTGCTCATATTCAATATTTTTTGTTTTATAAATTGATGCCGCTATCTTCCTTTCTGCTCCGCGAAAATAATATCCTTCGGACACGCCAAACCCTGAGTTTTCTAGCTCTCAGTGTTTATATAGAGTGCCTGAAATGTCATGGCTCGATCTAAAACGGGCAGCAAAATCGCCGCCTGCACGTAAAAATCTGAACCTTTCATCACAGGTGTATTTCACAGGTGAGTTTCAGCTTGTAAGGTTACGAGGTGTAGCTCCCTTTCTGTAAAAAATAGGGTAAAATAACTTGCCAGGGTCAACGGCGGAGGGCGATGCGGGAAACCGAGTCCAGGGGGGGGGGGGGGGGGGGGGGGGGCTCGATTGATGCACCTATTGATCGATGGGGTCAGGAGCAGCGTCGGCAGGTAAAGTCCACCAGTGAAAGAAAGCAGAACAAGCAGAAGAAATTCAGCGGCAGCAAGATCACAGTCGTCATCTAAAGGCGATTTATTTTATTTTTGTTAATTCAAGTTTTGCTATCATTGTCCGCATTTATATTTAAACCAAAGGTACACTAATAAACGATTATTTTCACTTTAATAGACAACGATAGTTGTGGGTTGTCTCTATATTATTTTTTTCAAAGCAAGCCGGAACTAGAGTTTTTTTTTTATAGGCTTCCGACGGGATCCATATATGCGCATCTCTTTTTCACGTGCCGCCACGCCACTCTGCGCCGACATCAATCATGTGAGGAGCAAAGGATCCCGCGCCGTGCAGGAAAGTCGCTTCGCCGACGTTGCACACGTCCCTGCGCATGTTCCCCTGCTTTTGCCTCCTTCTCCTTTCTTGTTTTCGCCGAATTCAGACACGTGACCGGCTGCAATCGACTGAGCGCGGCCCCAATCGACTGAGCACGGCCCCGACGGGCGCGAGGAGTGGCTTTCCCGCATAATTTAAGATTTCTAGATGGCTGAACGCGCAACTCTGGCTCCTGTAGAGAGCCTATACAGAAACTCCAGTCGGAACAGGAAAGTAGCGTCATCTGTCGATACCTGCGTGAAACACTCCTTGCCACTCGGCCCGGTCGTTTGCCGCGCAGTCTTCCGTTCACCCCGGCAAGTTATTTGGCCCTATCTTTCACAGAAAGCGAGTTACGCCTTCTAATTTTACCCAGTAAAACCCAGCTTTCATATACACCTTTGAAGAGAAGCTTAGATTACTACGTGCAGGCGCCGATTTTTACGGCCCATTCTAGATCGAGCCTCGGCATTTCATACACTCTATATTATCATTAACAGTTGAAGGAACGTAGAGCACGCGGCCTATTAACTTCAAGTTCCTTGCTTCGTGTTACGTCTTCTGGCGTTCTTATCGGCTAATGCCTGAATTTCCCTGGTACCGGAGTGATAACTAGATCCCTGGGAATGGCCATGCCTTGCGTTTCTTACGCCAGCGAGACAAAGATGGACTTCAACACTGTTCAGACACAAAGCATTACACTTTGTCCAGAAATTATACTGCTTAACTCAGGGACGTCGGATGCGCTAAAGCAAATGCAGCGTCTTCATCTATAAAAATTAAGCAGTCTAATCTTTACGTCTTTATAGCGCTTGGCTTTCTCATTATTAACGCATCTGTCTGTGTTTGTGCCAACTCAATTCAACGAGAATATATCTCTGCGGCACTTAGCTTTCAAAAGCTGAAGTCGTAAGACGAAATTAAAACGCTAATTGGGTCATTTTTCATGGTTCGTTTTTACAAGAAAGCTTAGGCGCTTTTCAGTTTGGCTGAGTTTAAAGCTGACTGCAGTTCCTACAGTTTTGTATTGTCAGTTTCATTAGGGTACTTAAATTGGGACTCAACTAAACGTAAACTGCTTTTAGTTCAGAAAGAAAAAAAACGAGTGGGGGTTGTTACAAAGCATGGGGTGAACCTCACTCTTACATGTTATCTGTCAATGGTCATCTAAGCACGTCGATGACGGAACTTTCGTTGGTTTTACGCTCCGATCTGGTGCTGACCTGCTTTTGACCTGCCGGAGGTGGCGAGACTGCTGACGAATATCTATTTACCCGACTACGTCGCTTCTACTAATACAATAGAAATAAAACTTTAGACACCTAATTTTTAAGGTAACTACATTCAAACTTTCACGATATATTCCAATTGAAAAACATTCTCACCTTCCCTTTATAGCAATACTCCACAAAAAACAAGGATGAAGCAAACTAGAAGAATAAGACGTCGATATTGTTTGCGTCTAGTCTGTCTCACCATTGTTTTCTGGTGGGTTTGTTTGTTTCTTCCTCGTTTTTTGGCGCAAACTTTACAGGGGAAAAATGTATTCACCCAAAGAGCATGGTTAAATTACCAATTATTTTAAAAACTGAATATAGGTAATATAAATAAATTCAAAATAACTTCAGATCATAGGTAATCCCATTTTAATAAAGGTTAATTTATAAAGAAATTAGAATAGCTTGTATTTACTTTTGAATATGTCAGGCCGACATTGATCCACTCTCCATTTTTTTTTTAATTGACGTCCAGGACAGTCGCCTTCCATGATGACGCGTTGGCTGTGATGTCTTCTGCTAAACTCAATTACTAAGTATTTTGGTGTTCCAATGACGCAGCCTGTTATAAACGGGGTCTCCTGTTCTCAAAACAAAATTCCAAAGCAAAAATTGAGAAACACCCCAAAAGCATTCGGTCAGATCCGGCCGAAATCTTGGTCAACTTCTCCCAAAAGCACAACGTAAATCCAGACTCCCTTCCGAGTAGTATTCTTCGGAAACTCCAAAATAGCGTAAGCTATCGCCTTTTATTTTTGAGGTGGCCGGATGTTGTTGAGGCAGAAACGCCCCGTCAAGAGAAAGGACATGATATCTTTCGAAGTAAAAGTAATCCTAGCGTTTGAAGACCCAAAGTAAATATAATCCTTGATTTTTTTTTTCGGCTTAAAATTTTAAGAGGAGGGGCCTATCTCAACTGAGAAAAAGCATAGGAAAGAACAATAAAGCATCTTGTGTGCTCCACGCTGCAGTGTAGAGGGGAAAGGTTTTAGTCTGTCGACGACAACATGAAAACGCGGTGTCAACAATGAATCGTCGACATTTTTGTTTTGTTTGTTAACGTGTTTTTTTTAGGTATCTCCGCCCAGAATCTAATGGGTTATCTTCACATTTTCGTTAGTATTTTACCTCCGTTTTCTACACTTTTCTTACAACCATACATCAGGCTTTCCGCCTGTGGGACCTCGTTGGTGTGCTATATTATTTTAACTCAAACTCTTACTTTAGGCAACATTCTTCAATAAAAATAATTTTCAACTGGTTTTCTTTAACCTCTAAAGAGGGGATACGGCTATCTTAAATACTGAGTGAAGGTTACTATAGAAGCTATCAATAAGGTGCTTAGATAGGCCAGTTGGTACGTTGCAAAGGCTATAAAGCGCCGAGAAAACACGGACCGAGACACGAAGAAAGCGACGATACAGGGCGCACTCTGAACTGAAGTTTATTTGTAAAAGTACTTGATATTATTGCCAACGGGAACGCAAAGTCATCAATCAATCCCTGCCCAGCTCACGTTTTAAATACTAACACTCATCCGAAAACAGGGCCTACAGGTTTCGCTGATGCACTTGTTTCCCTAGCCGTAATCTCAAAATCCTCTTGTAGTTTGCATGACGCCTTGTTTTTGTATTTCGCCAATATTTGCATTTTCCTGAATGAAGGGGCGCAAGAGAATCTGCTGCAATGAACGGCGAGATGCCGTGACGGTGTGGTCCTAAAGGAAGGTGCGTGTTCGCGGGTCCGATCAACACATTTGCCTGTTTGCCTTTCATAGCTTAACCCACACGTCATCGGAATCTTATACACGACGCCAGTCGTGCGATCTGTGTACTTCTTCCTACGCGTAGCGTTGCACGGGTCTGTGGTCGGCTGGGGATCATTGATTCAGTCCCGACATACTTCTTTACCTAATTTTAAATAGTTTATTACATTACTTAGTTTCAGAAAAGTGTGGTCATCATATTTGTACTGAAGTAATATTGTGATCTCTGTTTTGAGATCCGAAAATGACATTTGTTTTGTCTTTCTGCATTCGCAGGGATTTCTGGTGGCGACGCTCTACTGCTTCCTGAACGCCGAAGTGAGCTGATTCGCAACCCACTGTTTTTAAGCTGTCCAAAGCAAACTATGCAATTATATTCATTTCGCGTGCGGCTTTATCTTCGAGTTATAACATAACTTTCGTTAATTGTCTGCACAAGGTTAACCCGGTATCACTTCATTATTGTTTTGAAGAACTGTTAGCACGAGAAACGTCTTCTCAATAACTAAGCTATGTTCTAGAATAATTATTAGGATTCGCCACGGTCATAGTCATGTAGACTGACTGATTAGAGCAACACATTCTAAAACAAAACCCAGTAGTATTTACTAGGTAAAAGCAGTAACTGCTGGTTACTGCTTTGGTTTGAACTGCCTACCCAAGCAGTTCAAATTTAGCCAGTCATTGGCCAATGGCTGAAAATGTTGCTTTGACCGGTGACCAGACAGTGTCCAGTCATTGGCTGATGACTCGCCTTTCTTTGGACAATGGCCAATGACCACTAGCCATCAGCCATCGGCCAAGAATTGGCCAATGACTGGCCACTTTCTCGCCATTGGCCAACAGAACAGATCACCAGCCATCGGCCAATGCTTGGTCGAATTCCGTTTTGTTTGTGTAATAACTGTATATAGTAACGGTCAAGCTACTAACGGTTGGTAGGTCAAAAAACTATTAAGGTTTACTAACCAACCTGGTATCTCACACTCCATTTAGCTAATAACCAGCACTAACTCGCACAAGACCCAGGCGGTGCTAGTCAACGACAAATTAAAAATTGACAAACAATACTATTATTGCTGGGATAGACTATTTCCACGCTGTTTACATGCAGATTTGCACAGGCATTATACCTTTAACACATACAAGAAATTCGAGCACATATGACACTCTCACAACACACACGCAACGACAGGGTAACCCAATCGCTGTTCCCAATGGATATCCCTGCGTCTTTTATACTGATCATTTTAAGAAAGTCGGTTGCTCAGTGGCCACCTCGTCCGTGAATGATATTAACAGTTTTATGCTGCTTTAGACCCAATATTGTTCTCTAGTATTGTCGCTAACTATTCCAAGGGATGTACATCTTACTAATAAGTAACGGTACACAGTGTTTTTTCGCGACAGCCTATAAAGCAGCGTTCTCATTGATCCCAGCAGCCATACACTCGCTCCCCCGCATAGCAGCTGCAGTTACTACCTGTCGCGCGTTTGAGACGGTAAATAGATATTAAAAAGGTAGTAACGGTCAGAAAGAAGGAAGTAACAGCTGCATTCACTAACTTTTTACTTTCTCTCGCACATTTGAGGTAGTATATAGTTTGTAAAATGTTGTAATGGTCCGAAATAAATATTAAATATAATAAATAAATGAAAGGCTTCGACAATCGTCTGTGACGCGGAATTAGAGTCCAGCTCTTTAGGAGGAGGAGGGAAGGCTTCGGAGATGAGGGAATTGTTTCGAGAGGAATTTAGAGGAAATTGTGGGTCAATTTTCTGCTAAATCCTCCCGCTAAATATAGCAGGAAATTTTACCCGCTAAATTTGATGGAAAAATTCTCCTGGTACGTTTAGCGGGGAAATTCCCCCACTAAATTTGGCAGAAAAGTTTTCCTTACAAGTTTATCAAAAAAACTTGGCGCAGAAATTTTTACGCTAAATTTAACATTAAAAATTGCACGTAAAGTTTGCCGAAAAATTTCTCCGCTCGAAAAACATGTGCGGAGATATCCTCGCGAAATTTAGCGGAAACATTGTCCGCTACATGTGGAAAAACTTCCCCGCTAAGTTTAGCGGTAACATTTCCCGCCAAATTTAGATGCCGTGTGACGTTATTATGGGAAACGTTTCATAATGCAACGCGCGGTTACGCCGACGGCGACACCGCTCAAGCGGGAAACAGGCCCCTAAGTGCTGTGCTCTATAAGTTAGTAACGTCTGAAATTACTGGCTTTTTTGTTGCGTTTAACGAAGAGTGCAGGCACTTGGCCTTCTAGACTGTAAAAGCAAATCTGCGAAACTGGAGAGGATCTCACATTTTATGGTTTCGACATTGAACATTGATTTATTTTCAAGCAAGACGTAATGTATGTTGTAAAACACGAGGACTGAGATCAACGATGAACAAATAATGGAGACTGGAAAAGCGCTAACCATCCAGTGGCCATTGAACAGAACAGAAAACAAAAGTTAAGCATTTTATAAGCAATTTAGTTGAAAATCACGCCACCTCCTGTCCTGGTCTTCCTTCGTATCTTTAGCGTTTCTTGGCGCATTATTCGGTAATGCTACCCTAACTCGAGCACAAGAATAGTTTGGCGCAAAGCGCATGTTATGTTTAGTGTAAGCATTGTTCCAAATCTGATCAAGCAATAGCCCCACACTGTCCTCAATCCATGACTTTGATATACACGAACACTAGCTCCACTTCAGCTCCAGCAAGTGCAAAAAATACTGCTAGCGCTTCGTTATTTACGCTGCAATAAGAGCACGCTGTTTCCAAGGCGGATGTCTCATTATTCAGTTGTCCATTTCAGGTGGGTGCCGAAGCACGTGCCGCCATGGCGAGGCATCGCCGGACGTGCTGCTCGGACGGACTTCCGATGCGGGTGAACAAGGAGCAGGGCAGTGATCGGAACGAGCCCAGGGTCCGTCTGTCACTGCTCACGCGCTCGCTCACGCTTATCGCCACGCTAGAGGAGCGGCCACTTCCGGCCAAGCAAGACTTCGATATACGTAAGCGACAACTGTTTTGTCTTCCTTACGCGTCTCAAAGAAAACTATGTTGCTTGCCATTGATGTCTCGAGGGATGCTTTATTTTGCCTTAGTGTGTAACATGTGAATAAGGTCAGCTCTTGCGAAGAATGACCAAAACCACTTAAAAGTGCCTTCATCGCTCATTTTTCGCCTTGTATATTGGAACTAATATTTTCCCCAGAAACCACGAATAAAAGATGCCATTTTTTACTCGAAGCGAAGTACAAGAAAACAGAACGGCCGCGAGCAAAGAAAAAGAGCAATTTACCCCCTAAAATTGTTCTATGCGCGTGTCTACTGTACTTCGAGGCGCTTTGCCCCAAGTGGGGAAAGACAGTTACGCACAGTGTCGTAACTGTGTAACGCAAGAAATCTTGCAGGGTCTCTCAAGCGTAACGCAGATGGACTAGACCTATAGTGGAGTGCCGTTGAACTGCATAGAGCAAAATGGACAGAAGCAAGTTATCTTGATTCAGCTTTTCCCTTCAATTAAGAAAACTAGAGTTGCATGTTATGAGATTAGTAATTTTAGTAATTATATATATATATATTTCTACGATAATAAAGGGAAAGAAGAGGAAGACGGCGGGAACTGAGAACGGGACGGCTCGACTGAGTGACTGAGGAGAATTATCGCTACATCCGGATGTACCACATTTGTGACGACAACAAAATCATGTAGCAGTTGTGTTGCCTCTCCAACCAGTGGCAAGGACATTACGCCTGCGGATTTTAACACGGAACCATTGGCAGAAAGCAGCTGGATGGTAGTTGCTGCCTTGAGATTGGTTAGCAAGCTTGCTACAACTCGGCTATCATTAACGCTCACTGCGGACCCAGTGTCCACCAGAGCACTAAACTGCTGGTTGAGTTCCAGAATGTGTATAGACACACATGGTGGTGGGTAAGGTTTAGGCATCTTTACTGATGTTTTTGTTTCTGCAGTTATGCCTAAGGTAACGTTGGGGACTGGATGAACTACCAGCGAGCCCTGCCCCGATGGCTCGCGGAAGCGTTTCCCGGGCGGGAAGTTTCATGGGGTTCATTCGGGCACTGTCGAGCAAAATTTCCGATGCGTATCCAGCGGAAGCAATAATGCGGCTGCGACGACTCGTGGTGCTTCATCATGGAGAAGGTGCTGATCGCTGTAGTGCATGCTGCCCATTCCGTAGAACGAAACGCGGCTTTCGTTTCAACTGCTTGGACTAAAGCTGATCGCAGGGTCGTTGGGCGTCCAAGGCGTACAATTTGTTGAATCTGGACATCCCCAATAGCGTCCAGAAACGAAGCGGTAGCCAAAGTACTTATGGTGTCGGGGGAAGAGCTTGGAAAGAAATTTCGTGCAAGACGTACGATGCTGGCTGCGAGCTCTGTGAAAGTCTTGCCAGAACGTTGACGGCGAGAGCGCAGTTCCGCATAGTGAAGTTGTTCAAGGCGAGAGTCGCCGAACCGAGCGTCCAGGGCAGCGATTAAGGTAGGGTAGTCGTGAAGGAGGTCTGCTGGGATGGTCTCTAAGATTTCGACTGCCTCTCCCCGGAGGTAAGATAACAGGGCTGAGATGTTCCAGCCGTTGACTTCTGCGATCGTTTCAAACTCCTTCTGATATGCTTCCCAGGAAACTGTTTCGTCAAATGGCTGCGGTTTCAATAGAAACGTGCCGTGTGCCGCACTACCCTGAGGAGCCGTACTGCCTCGGAGAAGTTGAGGTGCGGGCCCGGCTTGTTGTAGTTGATTTCGGAGGGCCTGGACTTCCAACTGTAACTGGCGTACCTGGACTTCCGTGGGATCCTGGTTGGCAGCGCCCAAAGCAGATTTATCTTCCAGGTCTCGAACGTCATCATCGTTGCGGTCTCCGGCGTGGGAGTGAGAGCGGGTGAGAGGCATATCCCACCGCTGCCACCAAGACTGTAACGATAATTCTCCACAGTCACTCAGTCGAGCCGTCCCGTTCTCAGTTCCCGTCGTCTCACCATTTCCCCTCCCCCCCATTTCTCACCCTTGCAAGTGGTGGAGGTGCCTTAGATCCCCAACCTCTCGCTCCCCTCCAACTCTTCCACCACATCGCTCTGGAACTTCGTAGCGGTCGCAAGATCACCACTATGGCTGAAAAACCCCAAACCGGCGTCACCATCCGCGCACCGCCTGCCGCTCCAACCACCACAGCACCAACCGTCAAGAACCGGCAGCGGTACCCGCCACTTTTTGCGGGCACACCAGATTCCGATGTCCACGACTGGCTGAAGACCTACGAACCGGCAAGTCTCCACAACCGTTGGGATGACTCTTT